GCGCCTCCGGCTACTCTTGCTTCTTCCTTTCTGCCTGTCTAAATTCCTGTAAACAAAGAAGGTGTGAAACTGATTAGAGTTTTGGGATGGGTTGTTTTTTTTTAAATGCACAGTAGTACCCTACTCTGGGCCAGAAGTCAGATCAGAGCATCCTTTCACAGCCCTGAGAGAGGGCACAAGCCAGCAATGCTGAGCACTGCCACCTCAAAGCAGGGCCTGCTCTGCTAAAGGAGCTGGCTGGAAAGTGCTGTTCCCAAAATGCAGTTGCACCATGGAGGAGGAGGTATGAGAAGGGAAGAGGGCTCCTCATGCTTGCTTTCCTCCATGACGCCACTAGCGTGTATGCTGATAAACACTGCACACAGAGTAAACCTTGGGGATGTGTCTCCAGGAACTAACGTAATTGGGTTAAACCGCCGTAATAGGAAAATTCAGTGTGAACACTCATTCCCAAATACCATTTTGCTGCAGCTACAGCAGCACAGAGGTGCAATGTGCTTCCTCGCAGGCCCTCTCTGTGGTCTGCCAGGTGTTTGGTCTCCCTGCAGAGCCATGATTCCCAGAGCAGAGCTTTGACCCCCTGCCATGGGCTTCTGAGAAGACTGTCTGAGCGGCAGCGATAGCACAACTGTTGTATCCTGATGTCCCTTGGCAGCAGCACAGGGTTTGTGAGCTGGTGGCTTTGGGACCCCTTACTGGGAGGGTAAATGAGTCTGGCTAGGGTGGGGAGGGTGTTGCTGTAGCTCCCTAGAGGGATCTGCCAAGATCCCTCAGGCAGCTGGCAGGAGATAGCAGGGCACTACTTGTGTTCTGCCTGCCACTTCTGCTCCTGGAACACGCTTTCCTGAGGCAGAGCAGGAGCTTGTCCATGTCTGTCTAGGCTGCCTACTAGGCTGGGGTTTTGCAGTACTTGCTTTCCTGGGATGGAGATGTATATTTAGATTTATATCTTGGGATGTATATTTAGCCCAGAAGGCCCCACAAAACATCTCCTGGGAGGGTGCCTGGACCAGCCTGATGCCCTCAATAGGACCAATAAATACCACAAGCCTGATCTATCTGCTGGCCATTGCTGACACATCCCAGCTGGGGAGGGCTCAGGTCCAGACTTGTGACCTTGATGCTGACCTGCTGAAACCAACAGTCAGGTTGAATGAACAGTGTCAGAAGCACTTCCAGAGGGGAGTTCTCTTGCTTTTCTTCCGAATCTATGGATTAAAGCAGTCAATCCAACACAAAATCATGCAGTTGAAAGGACCATGCTGTCTGCCCTGAGCTCAGTCTTCTGCTGCCCTCCTGCCCTCCCTGCTTCATTTCCAGCCAAGTGTAGTGCAGTGCTGGGCCCTGTCACTCATCCTCCCGGCTCCTGGGAGGGCGTGCTCAGGTGATGGTGACTGGTTGGTGTCATTAAGCTCCTGGTTTCATTCAGACTCTTCCAGGGAAAACATTTTCGTTGAAGGACACAGAACCTCTGAGGATTTGGAGGAGGGAAATGATGTTGGTAAAACAAAGGCAATGTAATGAATATAAAATAAATGCCGACTTTTAAAAGAAGATAAATATTCACATCTTCATTAATACCTGTGTTCTCCCTTGCTTTGTGCTATTTAGTTAAAAGATGTGGAGGCAGGCAGCACCTGGAATCAGTTTCTCCAAGAAGCCCATTTCTGTTTCCAGACGCAGAAAACCCAGTGTTTAAAGTGAAAGTTGACAGGAAGGCGGGGGGGGAGGTTGGGGGATTGGGGCAAGACAGGGATGGGGGGAACGTGGCACTTCCAGAGCTCTACCTTAAAGCCAGGATGAGACCATTCCCGTACCGGGAAACAAACCCTCTTCTTCCTTTGTGTCCCAAACCATCTGAACACAGCTATCGTGTGCGGGACCGGCACCTCACCCTCGCTTTACATGACCCCGTC